AACCGACAAGCGAAGTTAAGCTTCGCCCAACAACGACTGTAAAGCCCGCAGCTGAATTTCTCGCTTGCCCCAGCACCCCACGGAGTTCCCCCTGTAGAGCCACCAGCTGAACCTCAGGCAAGCGGCACTCCAATGCCCAAGAAAGTCATCACCGTAGCCGGGCCCACAGTACTATCCACCACCAGAGGAATCCCGAAACGTACCGCAACATGTCGCAAAGTGGCCAGCAAAACTGCACATACTCCGGAATCCGGCAGACCCACGCAAAGAAAATCATCCAAATATTGGAAGACCGAAATCACCCCTGAGACATCCCGCACCACCCACTCCATGAATGAACTGAACTGCTCGAACAAAACGCAAGATATAGAACACCCCATAGAAAGGCACTTATCAACGCAAAATTAGCCCTGCCAATGACAACCCAAAAAAAAAAAACGAAAACTGTCCGGATGGACTGGCAACAGCCGAAACGCCGACTCAACGTCCGAATTCGCCATGAGCGCACCGCGCCCATACCGATGGACCCAGAAAACAGCCGCATCAAAAGACGCGTAAGACACCGAACACGACTCCGAATCAATAGCAGCAGTCACCGACCCCCCCGTAGGGAAGGACAGGTGGGGAATTAACCTAAACGCAAGCGGCTCCTTCTGGGGGCACAACCCCCAAGGGAGAAACAACCAAATCCGAAAACAGAGCGCAAGCAAACGGACCCCCCATGCGTCCCAACCCCACTTCCTTACGCAACTCAACCGAAACCCCCCCCTCATGCTGCAAGGCCGACCGCAAAGTCCGAGCTAAGGGAGGAATCAAAGTCCAAGTACACGGGATGCGGAAACCCTCTGAAAAACCCGCCGTCAGCAGCACTGCAGCTGCCCGATCAGGAAACCTCTGTAAGAAAGACCCCATCCTTTTCACTCGCACCGGAGTCGTCCCTCTTACCAGCATGCTCTCCGGGAAGGCCTCGACCCCGCTGGAAACAGCGCGACAAGGGATGGGAGCCCCCGCACCGGGAACATTCGTGCCGAAAAGACCCACCAAATCGACACGTCCCCTCTCGAAACTGCCCGCAGAACCCCCGACGCCCGGAGGCCGATTGTCCCGGGGAGAACGAACCGCCGGCCCCCGCTCTGAAAAAACGAACCAGGGGCCTTCGCCGGTGTCAGGAGTCGCATCCAGAGGCCAATGTCCTTATGATCCCAACGCAACGACTGGGGAACCGCCCTCCGCTGCCTAAACAGCCATCGTACCGAAGCCACGCAGTACCCCCATAAACCCTGTGAGCCTCACCAATGGCATCAAGGTAACAGACCAGTGCCGAGCAACGTTCAGGAGCCTTCTCCCCAATCACACTAGCCAAGATTGCGAACTCCTGCAACCAATTAGCAAAGGCACGCGGGATAAAACGAAAACGCCGCTGCTCCGCTTCCACCCGCCAACTCTCGTCAACCCGGGACCCTTCAAAAAAGGAAAACGCTCCAAAGGCAAGAGTGAGAATATATCAACGTACTCCCCACTCCAAATCTTCTCCCGTACCTCCGACTGTAAGTGCGCACCCAAAGGGCCCACAAAACACCCGTACACTTTGCCCCTGGCCGAGTCCGCCAAGCCGACAGGCCCGGACACCCTCGAAACCGCACCCAACACCGCGGAGGGGGCCGCAGAACCCCGATCACCCGTCATGGCCGGAACAACCTCTAGCCCAGACCCCCGAGGAGAAGAGACCCCCAGACGCCGCACGTCCCCGCAGTCCCGTACAAGAACCCTGAAACCTTCCCCACCATCCGGCGGGAGCCACGCAGAAGCAGGCCCAAGCGCCCCACCCCCGCCCCACTCAAGACCCCGCAACAGGTCCCGCAAACCGGAAATACACATCACCGAGACCCCCACCCATACCTGACGGGGGAACGCCGACAGTGCACGCCGCAGAGGCTGAGCCCACCGTAGCGGCCCTACCACCCCCAGCAGGTCCCAGAACGCAGAAGAAAAAGAGATAGACCCCAGAACAGGTAACTCACCAGGCTGCCCAGGAGATGCCCCTTCAGCGCGCGCGCTCACGATCCACCGGTGTAGAGCGGCCAGCCGTCGCCCCCGCATCGGGTTCTGACAGCTCGCCCTCCGACCTCTCGTCCTCCGCACGCTGTTCAGATGGCCTCCCGGTCCCAGGAGCCACGGTTCCTGCTGGTCTGTGCCGCTCACGACTCCGCCTCCCGGCACCAGACACGCTCAACGCCGTCCCTGGGCTCCGACCTGCAGCACTTCCATCTGCCCTCCGCCCAGCTCCAGTCTTCCGCTGATGCAGCTGTGGAGCCAGAGCACCAGACCGTCCAGGGGGCCCGCCGGCCGCAGCAGTAGACAGCCCAGCAGCTGCAGAACTCCCTGCAGCACTCCGTCCAGTGCCGATCCCACGCTGCCGCCGCCTCACCGGAGCCAGAGCCCCAGACTTCTTGGGGGGGGGCCCGCCGGCTGCAGCAGAAGACAGCCCGGCAGCCGCAGCTGTGCGCCTCCCACGCAGGGCTCCCTCCATGACCGGCACCTTGTCAGTGAAGGAGCTGCATATTCCTCTTCTGCCTCCATGCTGTGCGGGCGGGGGGAGGGGCTACCCCCGCGCGAGGCCCCGCCCACCGAGCTCTGCCGACGGCGGGGATTCCTCCCAGCTTCCCCGCTAGCAGAGGCAAAGGAGCGCCCTGCAATGGGAGCCGGAGGGGCCCGAGCGGGGCTCCCATGGTCGTGCAGAGCTTCTGGGAGGAGCGGGGGGGAGGGGCTACCCCCGCACGAGGCCCCGCCCACTGAGCTCCGCCAATGGCGGGGATTCCTCCCGGCTTCCCCGCTAGCAGAGGCGAAGGAGTGCCCTGCAAGCGGAGCCGGAGGGGCCCGAGCGGGGCTCCCATGGTTGAGCAGAGCTCTGGGAGGGGCGGGGGGAGGGGCTAACCCCGCACGAGGCCCCTGCCCACCGAGCTCCGCCGATGGCGGGGATTCCTCCCGGCTTCCCCGCTAGCAGAGGCAAAGGAGTGCCCTGCAAGCGGAGCCGGAGGGGCCCGAGCGGGGCTCCCATGGGTGTGCAGAGCTCTGGGAGGGGGGAGGGAGGGGGGGAGCCCGGGCTAAAGCGCTCCGGAGGCCTAGACCTCCGAGCACGTGGGCGCTCCCGCCCCCCTGCTGCAGGTGATGAGCCCAGATCCTGCAAGCGATCCGAGACACGGCTCTGCAGCCAGTCCATCCCCGTGTCCCCCGCTGCCTCCCACAGCCGAACCAAAAGGCCGTCCATGGCAGGGCTAAAGGTGGCCTGAAGCAAGGTGAGCGAAACGGACACCAAGCTCACACTCTTGCCGTCCAGCTAACTGACGCCCCCTCACAGAACCTCCCACCCTAAGGTGCAGCAAAACCCCACCTACACCAACCTCTACCAATCAGCTACCCCCCACTAACAATAACAAATCCCCCTGGAGCTACCTTAACCCTTTCTCTGCTCTTCCTTCCCCCACTCTTGGCCTAGTCATGTATGCCCTGCGCTATTTCTTCTTTATTTCGCTACGGGCATTTCTTTTTTTTTCTTCATCTGTGGAATGATAAAATGTATTTTCAGCTATTGCCTTGAAATAATAAAAATAACACTGTGTTTATTATGTTAAATAGCTTTGCTTCACACACTTTGGGCCCCATCTATTTAGATTCCTTGTTGTGATCACAAGGCTGCAATACACAAAATGTTGATATCGCTTCTCCCCTACAGCCAGCTCTGTCTGCAGGAACGTTTTTATTTCATATAGTATAAAAACACACAAACTACACTAGAAAAACACACACACTACATTAGAAAACACACGCACACTACACTATGGACATCAAAATAAGATATGACAGAACTTTTGTAACAGATGGCGTTCGTTTTGCTCATGTGCATTTCAGTTTTAATATTTTTTTGAACAATAACTGGTACACAATTAGAAAATCATTCATTCTGATAAAAATTTCTAACATGTTCAATCTGCCATTTTTGATGACTACACAAAAATTGGCTGTTGCTGTGTGCACACTAATGATTTGAAAATTGAACAATCGTTCTTTCAACATGAAATTTAATTCATTTTTCAACTAATGTATGGCCTGCTTAAGTGTAACAATCTTTTTGCTTTCTATTCTGTAACATCTCTATGCTAAACGTAATGACAAGAGATACAATTTAAAGCATCACACAGCTATACAGTTAGCTCAACATGGTAAAAATATACACTATATTGTCAAAAGTATTGGGACGCCTGCCTTTACAAGCACATGAACTTTAATGGCATCCCAGTCTTAGTCCAAAGGGTTCAATATTGAGTTGGCCCACCCTTTGCAGCTATAACAGCTTCAACTCTTCTGGGAAGGCTGTCCACAAGGTTTAGGAGTGTATCTATGGGAATGTTTGACCATTCTTCCAGAAGCACATTTGTGAGGTCAGGTACTAATATCAGACAAGAAGGCCTGGCTCACAGTCTCCGCTTTAATTCATTCCAAAAGTGTTCTCTCAGGTTGAGGTCAGGACTCTATGCAGGCCAGTCAAGTTCCTTTACCCCAAACTCGCTCATCCATGTCTTTATGGACCTTGCTTTGTGCACTGGTGTGCTGTTATGTTGGAACAGGAAGGGGCCATCCCCAAACTGTTCCCACAATGTTGGGAGCATGACATTCTCCAAAATGTCTTGGTATGCTGACACCTTAAGAGTTCCCTTCACTGGAACTAAGAGGCCAAGCCTAACCCCTGAAAAACAACCCCACACCATAATCCCCCCTCCACCAAATGTTATACTTGGCACAATGCAGTCAGGCAAGTACCATTCCCCTGGCAACTGCCAAATACAGACACATCCATTGGATTGCCAGACAGAGAAGCGTGATTCGTAACTCCAGAGAACACAACTCCACTGTTCTAGAGTCCAGTGGTGGTGGGCTTTACACCACTGCATCCGACGCTTTGTATCACACTTGGTGATGTAAGGCTTGGATGCAGCTGCTCGGCCATGGAAACCCATTCCATGAAGCTCTCTATGCACTCTTGTGCTAATCTGAAGGCCACATGAAGTTTGGAGGTCTGTAGCTATTGATTTTGCAGACAGTAGGCGACTTCTGCACACGGTGTGCTTCAGCATACGCTGACCCCGCTCTGTCATTTTACGTGGCCTACCACTTTGTGGCCGAGTTTCTGTTGTTCCCAGTTACTTCCACTTTGTTATAATACCACTAACAGTTGACCGTGGAATATTTAGTAGCAAGAAAATTTCATGGATGGACTTATTGCACAGGTGGCAACCTATCACGGTACCACGCTTGAATTCATTGAGCTCCTGAGAGCGACCCATTCTTTCACAAATGTTTGTAGAAGCAGTCTGCATGCCTAGGTGCTTGATTTTATACACCTGTGGCCATGGAGGTGATTGGAACACCTGAATCCAATGATTTCGAGGGGTGTCCCAATACTTTTGGCAATATAGTGTATGTGGCTACCCTGTATATTCAGAGTATAGCAAAATGAAAATCCATACTAACCACTGCACTATAATTAGCTGATGATATGGTAGTGTTATATTTAAAAGACAGCATAGTACTGATAAACAGTAATTTCTGGATCTTCTCTGGTCATAAATAATTCATACATCCTGCAGAATTGAAACTGTCACCATTTAAAGACCAATTAAAGACAGTTTTCTATAAAGCAAAACAACAGTGTGCTGAGGTTTAGACTGAAGCACCCATTCCCTGACCCAAACGCAGCAATCTATTTCCAGGGCAGTGACTTTGAATAGGTGTAAGACCAGCCATCTGGCTAGTCATTGGCATGATGCGGAGTAGTGGCCCTATGTAAAGGGCAAGGCGTGTGCAGACTCTACTATATAGTGGGTCAACATCTTTAGGTAAGTGGTTTGGTTGGATGGTGGAGGAGCACATCACTTGTCGGTGATTGTTAGCATTGCAGGCATATTCATGGTGAAGGAGGAATACGGAGACACTATACAATAACCACATATTAAAGATATTTATTTGGGGAATTTTATTGATTATTAAGTAGCTTTAGAAGTTTTAATTGATGTAGTTATTAATATACAATATATGCACTGTATACATCTTTGAGGTCATGGTGAAAAACAGTATCTGTGCTGCACTTTATTCACATTAATGAATATGGTTTGATGTGGGAACACATAATTGTGACATTAGTGGTTGCACTCAATAAATAACATTGTAAATGTGCACCGTTAAGTCCTAGAATAGGAGTGACATGTAGTATAGAGTAGTATAGAGTCATACAGCAACATTGTATTCTTAGTACAAACATCGGCCCCAAAAAGATGTCCGCGCCCATGTTAACTACAACAAAAAGGGAGGATAGTCAGTATATATAGATTGAATGGAAGAGTGAACGTCCAATCACAACCCCCTGATGAAGCCGCGTGACCAGCGGCGTAACGCGTAGGGGAGGGGCTACGACGTCACTGGCCATTCGAGGATGACAGGTTCACATCAGGCATGCGGTGTTTGGCATGCTGAGGACGCAGCTCTGTATACACAAAAGCGTTTTTTTACTTTTTTGTATTGGAGAGGAAAGCAGGGGAGAAGCAGCGAGAGAGTAAGATGCCAGCAGGGATAGGGCACGGAGAGCCGGCTGAGAGGGATCCACCATTCCTCATACAGTGCAACACACTACTGTTCCAGATAGTGAACACAAGCATTATTAGCCTAGTATAGGCTATCTTGGAGGTGAGCGCACATCTTAATCTCACTAAGGAAGTCACTTGGAATTATTTATTGATTTGAATCACTGGGATTTGTCACCACTTATTCACAGAGACTTATTATTATTTGCAAATGATAAGCACGGGATGTCATATCTTATTTTGTTGATCACGTTTTTTTCTATATTGATATATTTTTGGTTTATGATATGGTTTCTTTGGAAATATGAATTGATTTTTAGTTTGATATTTTTCCTTAGAGGAGGAGCGTGGCATTTTTTATATTTATTTCATTATTTACACATATAAGGAGGATGTGTTGTATGTTAACGCACCTTTATAATTAATTGTAGGTGGCTCGCAAGTTATACTCTCATTTTTATATACAAAATTAGTGGTTGCACTGCACTTTATTTACATTAATGTAAGACTAGCTATGCATGCCTAGATTTCTTTTGTATAGCCCTGTGGGCTCAACAGAAGAAATGGCTCCATTTCCCCATCCATGTTAAACAGTGTGGATGTAGAAATGTCCAATACTGGCTTGTGTATTTAGATAGCTACAGCACCTCCATTTGTCTGAATAACCAAACAGTAACTGCATCTAACTGAATGCAGTCAGTGTTCAACTCACAATTATCCTCTTAGTCCCTTCAATTTTTCGTTCAAAGTTTGTCAAGCCAGGAGGTGCCAACAGGGCTAACCACAGTAATACAGTATATGGCCAGCATAAGGATTTGTGCAGACCTAAAAGAATTTGTAAATGTTTTGTGATAATATTTTATTTGGATACTCTACACTTTTTTATATTGAACTTTAATTAAAAGAAGACAATCAAAAATGGAAAAGCCTCTGCTAGTGCTTTTCAAAAACAATGTTATACATGTACCCAGTGTGAGAAAAAGATAGACACAAGCTGGATTGTTCAACCATGGAATTGAGCAGCCTGGCAAAACCTGATCTTAAGCCTTTTTACATAGCCTTGCAGTTAACACTCAAGAAACACAGAACTAGAAACCCGCACATAGCCTCAGTATCTGATGCTGACAAGTTTCCTCACCATTTTTATAATTATTGTCCAAATGCTGTTGTGGAACCATCCTCCAAACTCACAACTGACCTAAAACTGATGCAGCCCCTGAAGATTTGGGATACTGTTACATAACCTACGTATCCCCATCCTACATAACCAACCCCTCTTTGAAATAATCCCAACCTGCCAAAGTTTCTTTTACCCCTGCTTTCAGAACACTCTATGAATTGGGGTCTCTGGTTTATTGCACAGTACTAAAGACAACAGAGGTAAATACTTTGAACAATTAAAAGCAAAGTTTCACCTCCCTAACTATATACAGTTGCAAGAAAAAGAATGTGAACCCCTTGGGATTACGTGGAGTTTTGCATGAATTGGGCATAAAATGTGCCCTGAACGTCATCTAAGTCACAACAATAGAAGAACACAGTCTGCTGAACATAATACTACACAAACATTAGATGTTGCCATGGTTTAATTGCACATAACATGTAAATAATGAGCCCCAAGAAAGCTTATCCGGATCTGATATATCAACCAATCAGGATGGCCTTGCGGTATATGCACACAGGTCAGGGGCACCTCTCTGACGCGTTTTGTGTAAAAACACTCCCTCTGAGGAAGTGTTTTTACACGAAGCGCATCAGGAAGGTGCCCCTGACCTGTGTGCATATATCGCAAGGCCATCCTGATTGGTTGATATATCAGATCCGGATAAGCTTTCTTGGGGCTCATTATTTCCATGTGAGCCCGTTTTTGAAGGTTCCTGAGGATTTGGATGATATATGACTCCCCCTTCTCCTGCTGATGATGGCCCTGGTGGAATGCTTAAGAAAACACCTAGACTGATGACATCTAGTGGCCGACTTGCTGATGACATCTGCCTGGTATCACAAGTCCAAAGCACCAGGAGCAGGTCTTAATTGCTCCATGCGCAATTAATGTGCTATCTGGTTAGTGCATAGTTTGTACATTCACAACAACACAAGAGTCACGTTTATTCTTGATCATGGACTTTTGGAATACCTGTGCTTAATCACTTTACTATGAAGTCTCCCCACTGTTAGAATACAAAGACACAGCGGGGAGGATTCTCCTATACACCTGGAATGTGTGCATGGGGGAATTGGGTCAGTTTATTTTGTTCAACCCAGTGATTGAACAAAAGAAACTAATGTAGGGGCTGTCTTAGCCTAGATAAGACAAAGAAGCTTGGACATTGCACCAAATGTACACAGTGGCTTACTTGTAGCTGTAGTGCCTTGTTCTTGCTCCAGCAGACCTACAAAGCTGAAATGAAGCCACAAGCAGCAAGTCTAGCGTTTACTGAGATTTACACAATGCTTTTTTTTTTTTATAGATAATGTATTTTAAAAAATTTAAGAGCAATATAAATATTGTATGTCTAGCATTTGGAAAATTGTACTGTGTACAATAAGCTGTGACACCCACAACAGTAATAAACTTCATTCAACTTTCGTCCAAACAATGTGCTGAAACTGAGAGATTCTATGTCATATATTTTTAATACCATCATCTATCTCTCTGGGTTCATGAAACCAGTGCTAATTTTTACATCAAATTTCGATTTAGTTTTAGTCATAGTCTTTTGACTAAAATGCCATTTAGTTTTAGTCATATTTTTAGTCATCTGAATTGTTTTAGTTTTACTTGTATTTTAGTTGACTTAGTTTTAGTTTAGTCAACGAAAATATTTTGTTCAACAAAACTAACGCTGCATGAAACCAGAACTTGCAACTCCACAACATGAAGACCTAAATTTCTGCTTGTCCTAGGATATTGTAGAGATATTTTTGGACTGGTAGAGCACACAGCCTGCTAATTTGGTCCACACACTTGAGTGCAGAGGGTTTTGAATGGTATGAAGTAGTGGATTATTTGTATCATATATGCATCATTATGACTGCTGTGAGGTAAAGGCGTTTAAAACAGGGCTTAATACAGAATCTGATACCTTTCCCAACTAAGTAGCCAAATAAAATGTTGAAACTACTGTAGTGGTTGCAAGGACAAGGACACTGTTTTATTGATTTAGCTGTGTTTATCATCCCCAAAAAAATGTCAAACTACAATGGACAACAAATTTATTCAAAAGTTTTGCTTCCTAAAAAACACAAATATAATTTCAGAATTATTGTGTCACATTGGAATCTTGAGAAATAAGTTAACTTTTAATTACTATATTGTATTTAATCACATAATGTTTTGAGAGGCCACATGAGTTCAACAGTGATTTGCTGATGATTTTCATTTTTACTCAGTGTCTAATTCATCTTGCTGCAGAGTCTGGACTATTAGTCAGCCAGAATTGGTTTATTCCAGTTGCAATGTGGCAATGCCCTGGTGAAATCTTTCACCATCTACATCATTGACTGCACCTAGATTTTCAGAAAAAAAAGTGGGAATGCAGAAAATGAATCTTCAGTAACATGTTGCCCTTCATGGTCTTGTAAGCTATAAGAAGTTTGTCAACCATCTGAATGTAGTTTGGTGCTCTGCAGTTGCCAAGAATATTCTTAACGACATCCTTGAATGCTTTCCAGGAGATTTTCTCAGGCCCCACTAACTGATCTTGAAAATGTTTGTCATTGATGATGTATCTGATCTG